CTTCGTCTGGGTTCTTAGCAGTCAGGGTGCTATCCCATAAAATACCTGCTATTTTTAAAGAGATTATTTAATCCAAGAGGGAAAGCATTGCACAGGCAAGTTACTACATGGCCTCAGATACAAAACTTGAGCCTGCTATGGCATACTAAACTGTAAAAACTAGTTAAAAGCACTTTGAAAAGGGGGTGGATTTGGAAGCCATCCTGTCTGCCCCAGGAAGAAGGCATATTGCTCCTTCACTCACAACTCTGATCTACTTCTTTTCACCTCTGTCCAAGCAGAGGCCAAATGAAACTTAAATATTATACTTCATATGTGCATAAATGTGTATGTGTATATATAATATATATACATACATATACACATACACACACACAGACACCCCACACACACTCTAGTGCCTAACCCCCTGTTTATACTCTTTAAAAAACACCTTGTTTGAGACTTTAAGACACAATGCTTACTTACCCCTTTTTTAGCTCAGGAAATTCTCCAAACCAGTATAAACAGCTCCAGCCTTCAAGAATCCTGCAGACAAAAAGGATGTCTTCTGGTACTTCTTGTAAGGAGACCATGTACCAACTAATTACATATCACCATTACCACTGACATCACCCTTCCCTCTTGCATCCCTCCACATATTTAGCAGACTCCCATTTGAACTGGTGAATTAAACTTCCTCACTACTTTTTCATCCATCCTTCTTCTCTAAAGTGTTTTTTCTCTAAAGTGGTTTTCTGCTTTGGAAACTGTAGCTCTCTCCTGTCAGACCTAGTTGCCTCTCTCCAAATCTAGGAGGAAGCAGATGACAGAACATCATTTCTTGAACATGAATTGATTAAGTGCTCTCTCCCCATTGAAGGGAATCTGAAAACCTGACTCATTTTCAATGGGCAGCATTACAAGCACACACAAATTGCTAAAAGCAAAGATACTTTGTGGGGTTTTTTAATTATCTGAATACTAAGGGCCAATCCATAATCTTTAAAGTGTTAATATAAATATTATTGTAGATAAAATTATCAGTATCTAAAAGCATGAGTGAAGGCAGTCAGCCATTTCATTGGCAATGTAAACAAAGATGAAGAAACTAGCTTCATAGCTGTCTTCCAAGTCCTCAGCTCAGAAGCAATACTGGAAACAGATTTCTGCCTGTTGCTGCAGGTGGAGATAATTTCTACAAGCAAGCTTTACCTAATTCAAGTATTTCAAGTTTTACCTGCTTCAAATATTTAATTTTTTGTGAAATTAATTTGGTATTCACTCCTTTAGGGATATTTAATGCAGAAAAATTCAACCTTGTCATTTTACTCTCATCTTCTGCTACAGATTGCCTCAATGCTGGAGCATGGAAATGAAGTACTTCCTGAAGGAAACACTTCCAACAAGTACCTCACCTGGCTGTTCTGGGGAGATTCGTTCCTTCTGGATACACACCCTTTACAGATGTGACTACTTCAAACTGACAGCTCTCAAATTGTTAGAAGCTTCCCAAAACACACATATGATATTTTGTAATAATTGTAGCATGACCTGAATCAGTTTGGGAATTTAACTACCTGTGCATAGTGCATTGTATAAGCATGCCTCAGGGTCACTCATCATGCCAGAAATATGCAAACAGAAAAAACAAGTAATGCAAAGTGTATTTTCTAAAACTATTATAGCAAAGACCCTCCACGTTAGCTCTCCACCAACAATTCCCAATTATGGGCAACAGTCATTAAGGATTGCATGCTCAACAGATTCCGCAGCTACCACATCTCACTCTGCATTAATATCTGAGCAAGCTGCATTTACAGTGATGCACTTAATACAGGTGACGCAGATTCCACTCCAGTGGGGCTGCACCACCACACAGAGTTCATACACTAGATCATAGCACCTTCATGACATGAAGTTTATGGTGCCAACAGACTAAACTTGTTCAGCAAGAAGCTCTTTTTTGCTGTTGGCTGCATCTGCTGACAGTGGTGGCATTTGCTGCTCGTGTTCTGGCTCTGTTGATTTTTTCTGTACTACAACCAGGGATGCTGCCTCTAGACCAAGACATGTTGTTGAGGAAGTGTCAGAATATGCCAGACCCTGTCTTAGGGCTCTGCCTCTCCTGAGTTTTTTTTCTATAGTTCTTCCCTCCTGGGCTGGGAGCCTGGAAGCCTATCCCAATACAAGTCCTGCAAAACCATGTTTGCTTAGACAGATGTAGTTATTTACCACCTTGGATAAGGGTGACATTTTCCAACACAACTATACCAATAATCAAGGTTTGTTTTATCAAGCATAACTACCCAGCAGACCTAACACCTTGGCTTATAGCCTATGCCTTTGTCATCCCCTTTTCTTGTACATCTGTGTCCTGATCATGAGGACACTCTTATTCCTAGTATGAATATTAAGGGCAAGGGAAGAAGGTGTGAAGGTGGTTTGTTTTTTAACCCTTCTTCCCCAGACAAAGCTACATTTTCCTCAGATATATGCTATCCACACAACTTCAGGCTGTGAGCTTGGTGGCTTTGGCAAGCAGAGAAAAGATCTGTCAAGCTGGAGACACTGAGGACTACAGAGAAAGCGTGTTATACACTGAGTGGACAAACCGCTGCCTGTAATGCTTCCCCAACCTGTTAAAGAATCAATGACCCCACTAAGTCTCACCAGAAACACTGCAGTTCTGCATTTTCCTGGAAGATTTGATAACTGTGGATCCAAACCTGTCTCTCCTGACTCACAGCAAAGAATTCAGTCAGAGAACCTAAGTTATTTTGTTAAAAGATTTATTTTACAAAATCTGTGGTTTTCAACAGCTGCTTAGTAAAACATGCAGTCCAAAGGGTGTCTTCAGAACACAACTGCCACTAGGAAAAGTTACCAGAAGAGAGTATCTGCTTGGTTCCTTCCTGAAATTACATCAGGCCACCATGAAGACCAGCTTCCAAAGAAGCTGCATAGTGCTCTTGGGTTGGTTTCCAAATTAATAAAATTAATAATAGAGCCTGTATCTCAGCTGCTATTTTTTTGTTGTTGTTTTCCTCAGTCTTGTTCAGAGGATCAAGTCAGTGCCAAGAAAAATTATGTTCTCTGTACTTAAAGGATATTAAGACTTCTGCTACCACAAGAACTCAGATGGAAAAGAAACACAACAGGCAACAGAAGACCATGTTCTAGACTGGTCTTGAATCATTGTATTGGTGATTGTCAAGCCAATGCCAGTCTCAGACAAATGCCACAAATGCCAATCTCAATCAAATTTGGGATCCAGACATTTTGGTAGAGACTATTTAAAGTTTCAAGCAATGGTCATGGAACCAAGAAGTCCTTAGTGGGAGCTGCCTGATGTGCTTCAGAACACAGTCCTCTGCTGTTGTCAGCCATGATGCTGTCACAACTGAGATGCTCTTCCATTTCATGTTCTATCTTCTTGTTTAGGTCTCACAGCACATCAATCACAGCATTTCACAGCACATTTCACAACACATTTCACAGCAATCCTTCTGTGAAAAGATTTCTTGCTGAGCAAAGGAAAAAAGAGTCCTTCCTGGCATCAGGAAAGTAGTCAATTAAGATCATGTTATTCTGGAAGCAAGCCATCTTATCTCAAGAAGTTCATATGTCACTTGAAGATCCAAACACTCACACTGTACCACCTCCTACACACAGGGGAAGGACTTGTGCTGCTTGACCTCCAGGATACAGCTCTACATATCTGCCATGCCATCTCAGGAGATGTGGAAGATCAATACCACCACCAAGATAGGCTATTGTCCTCCAGCCACACAAAACAGATTTGACAGTGACTAGCATTCAAAGCAGTAACAGCACACTTGCATAAAAGCAGTGTTTATATACTCCTACCAGGACAGCTAGCTAGGAGAGATTTTCTAGCAAGGCTGCATATGACAGATTATGCACACTCAACCTACTATAGAACTTGGTCTCTAAAAGATATGAACATACTGGAGTGAGTCCAGTGAAGGGCTGCAAAGATTAAGGTACTGGAACATCTGTCATAAAAGGAAAGGTTGAGAGAGCTGGGACTGCCCAGTCTAGTGAAAAAGGCTCAGGCTTAGTGTGCATAAGTACCTGAAGGGAAAGTGTAAAACACAAAGCTAGACTCTTAGTGGTATCCACTGAAAGGACAAGAGGCAGCAGACACAAACTGGAAAAAAGTACATTCCATTTAAACTTAATTTACATTTGTTTTTAAACTGAGTGTGGACAAACACTGGAACAGGATGCTGGGAGAGGTTGTAGAGTCTCCAGCCTTAAAGATATTCAAAACTTGACTGGACACAGTACTGAGAAACCTGCTCTAATTGGCCTTGCTGAGTAGAGATCCTTTCCATGGTCAATGATTCTGTGGAGTGTAAAATCCCTACAGAGATGTACTTCTCTGGCATAGATTATCAGGTAAAATCCTCCTAGTGGTGTGATAAACCTAAGAATCCACAAATCCCACAGCCAGACTCATTGCTTTCTATTTCCCTCAGCAGAACATGTTCTCAGAGACACTACGAATGAAAAGCTACTTGCTCTCACAAGAACTGGAGTTTGATACATACTGTTTGTATGCATAAGCCACTTCTTTCCTCTAGAATCCTGCACACCTAGTATGTCAGGATGAAAAATGTGCTCTGTCAGTATAAAAAGATTAAGAGTCTGCAAGATAGACACACTACAGTTACTAGTGGTTGACTTTGTGAACAGTGCCATGTACATATGGACAGCATATTAGGCAATACCTGTTTTTTAATTAGTAACTTCCTTTTTTTGAAGTTTCCTGTAAAACGAGCAGAATTTGAGGTAGAAAAGCTGCAGATCTGAACAGACAGTAAGACAAACCTTCATTGGTCTGAATTCTAACTCTCATCCATCATCATAAAGGTAAGGCTATTTTTAACATGCTTGTTTTCCTCAGTGTTTCTTCTGCATAAGTAGTAAAGTAGACCTTTCTCCACTGGTAAATCTCATTAACTATATAGACAAGAGAAATTAAGGTAGCTTTAGGCCATCATGGAAAAAAAAAATTTTAAAAAAATCACCCTTTACTCCATACTGTCCTTCAATTAATTTCATTCTAATACATGTTAGTCTTAGTTTGCAAGTGTTACCAATTCCCATTAGAGTACTGTGACATAGGTGGGTTTAGCTACCATGTGCATAAATGACATCCATTTAAGGTATAATCTTCCTTTTTCTTGTTTTGGATTTACCAAGAGTCAAGGGGGCTTTCAGTTTTCTAAGTGGTCATTGTCAAAAAGGGCAAGGCCTCCTCAGCATATGTCCAAAATAAATGGATAGTCCTAAGAGTAAAGGGAAAATAAAACAAATCTCTGTAGACAAGGCAACCTGCCACCCAATTCAGAGAAGCTAAACATAATGCTGTTACTCAAGCTATGGCTGTCATACCATTCACTTTAGTTTTATCAGCATCACTCCATTCTGAAATAATCCCAAAAGAAACCCTGATTATACCATATAATGCCTTTAATTTTAGTAGCTGATTGTCTTACTTGGCAAGACAGTTGATAGTCCATCTAGACTGGCAGTCTTACACTTTATAACTACAAGTTTATTCTGCTTAGGAGACAAAAATTTAAAGTTGTTCTTAAAATACTGCACTTAAAAGATACAAAGACTTCTACCACAAAGTCATAGTATTAGCTTTTAAAATAAATTAGACAAAAAGTAGGATTAGCAGCACAAACATATAATTTACATCCTTCCTCCTCCCTACCTCAACACCCATAGTCATCTGTAAATCCTGATATTACTACCTCCAAAATTAAAATATTTCATTGGCTTTACATCAACACAGCCCATATTTTCATTTCACAAAACCTCCATTTGCATAAATCAATCCCATTACTTCAGGAAACTCTTGAATTCCTCAGCTTACCAGGCAATGGTAATGGCACCAGCAGTACAGCCCCTCCTCATGGTTCAGTGAATGGCAGTAAGAAATCAGGTCTACTAGAGGCTTTCCTGGTTCTCTGCCAAATACATGTGGTTTCTTGGTGCTTTCTCACCCAAAAGTTGGCAATTATTAGTTTGTGATGCATGATCATATTTAAGGCATTATAACAGACGTAACCAAAGGAACTAATTTCAATTATTGTATTTCCATAAGGGCATGAAAAGAAAGTTCACTGGATTAGAAATACAGTTTTGAGTGAAAGCTATTGATTAAGAGCCAATTAAAAAGCAATTTCCTTAAAAATTGTTACTAATGAGAAGTGAGGCACCTTAAGTTCACAGCTACTAGGAGAAGCAGACTTTTCCCACCACCACCTTTAACAAGATCCACTTTAGAGTTGATGGTCTCTGAATTTTGCACTTTTTCAGTCCTTCTTTGCTTGACCTTTGAAGTCAGTCATGATACGAAAGACTCCAAAATAGTCTGCAAGGACAACAGCTGCTTTCACTGGTATCACACTGCAAGGTAGGGGAGTTGAAGAAGAGAAAAAAACAAAACAGACATCAGAAGAGTTGTACAGTTTTATCACAGAATTAGTTTTACCTGGCTAATACTGGCAAAGGCAGTATACTCTCTAGAATAAAAGTACCACGAGTCCTCTCAAAATACCAACTACACTCACTTGGCAGTCTGAGTTATTAGGCAGATCAGTCTCCCAACCTGACTTGCAACAGAGTCAGAAATACCCTAATGCTGGGGCAAGACACCAGATATGCAGTTACTGAGGAGCAGGCCCAGTCTATATAGCCCAGAGTAAAACTGCACCCCAATGGAGTCAACAAGTCAGGCATTTCTGTCATTGTTCTGTGGTCCAAGGATAGACTGAACCCCCAGAAACAAAACAAAAAGACTCCAGAAACATGCATAACAATGAAAATTCACACCAAGTAGAAGCTTAGTTTGCACTTCCAGTCAAACATTCAGCTAACATAGCCCTGGACAGAAAGGAAAAAAAGGGAAGGCATAACTTACCTTTTCAGAACTAATAAAAAATAAATAAGGCGTGGTAGTATCAACATCTCTTGGTCTTGCCGAACAGCAGTGATTATCTTCTCAGCCACATACTCTGGCTCCAGAGTGGGAAGCAGAGTTGGCCACCTGGAAGAGAAGAATTCCTACTATAATAGAAATTGCTTTGGATGAATGTTTTACTCAAAATAAAGTCTCCATTTTGCAGTTATTCAACTAAAAAGAAATACATACCACAAATTCTATGAACAACAGAACCTTCATTATGTTAAATAGTGAGTGACCATTGTTATTTTCCCTTTGTGTGATGTCTCAAGACAAATCCACATAGTCCTCATATTAAGACACACTAGGCTTTTATTCAGCTCCTAAATTTTGTCATTACACAAGCATGCTGGGCAAAGCTGTGCCACTGATTTCAGGAGGCACATGGGAGTTTAGAAACCAGAGAGGATAACTGGAGCCAGCGGAAAGGACACCAATTATGTTTCACATTTCAGCTTAAATGCATAGTAAAGTACTGAGGACTTTGCTACTTGGGCTGCTCAGTCACTGGGTAGCACTGTTAACGCCTGAGGCCCTAAAATAACACAAAAAGTCTAGCTCATTTTCATAAAGGAAATAAGAGTACACAAGATGCTAAACATGCAGGTTGCATAAATACCTCAAGAGTTTACTCACTTGGTGCTACAGCCATCAAACATTCCTGTGTTCATGAGGAAAGGACACACAGTTGTGGTTTTAACACCAGTCTTTCCCATATTTCTCATCTCTAAATCAACTGACTCTGCAAAACCAACTGCTGCAAATTTACTTGCAGAGTAATCTGTAAAATAAAACATTAATTGCAGTTAAACATTTTAATTTACTAATTAAACTTTACTAAACAGGTTCAGTGAGTCCTACCACTGTACAGAGGAGCAATAAGTTTTTGACAGAGAAAGTAAAGTAACCAGCCACATGTTTGGTTTTGCTTTTGGTTTTTGTGGTTTGGGGGTTTGGTTTTTTGGTTGTTGGGTTTTTTTGTTTGTTTGTTGTTTTTTTGGGTTTGTTTTTTTTTTTTTTTACAGTGTACAACAGCACTGTAGTATAGAAATGATATATACACAGTACCTGCAGGAAGCTGCTGTCCAATAATAAAATACTTTACAATAGAGTAGGAACATTTTCAGGATTAGGTTACTAATCAAATTTGCCTTTTATATTATTTACTCCTTTACTTTCACTTTCCCAAGTTAAATGTTGTTCTAATATGGGAGACAGAGGGCTTTTCATTGCATCCCTGCTATCACCTTTCCACTCTCTACTGAACAATAGCAAATGAAATTATCTTTTCATACCAGACCTTATCTTTGAATCCATGTACTAGCTTCTCATGCAAACTCAACCTTTCAATACTGTCTAATGTGGTTTCAATTTGAAACTCAATTTGTCTTTGTTATCACTGCCTTGAAACTAGATTTCTTTTACTGCTACGTCACATTATTTCAGTTTCCTCCCCCTTTGCAAATGTTTTCCAGAAATGCCTTCTGAGTTTGCCCTAATATCAACATTTTCTTTCCATCACTGTATGGGTCCTCTTGAATGAATGGCTGAGAGACAGTGAATGCAAAATGAGATATCACACCTCTGCACCACATCTGGATTTTAGTAGTTCTTTGAGTTAGGGAAACCTGTAGAGGACTCTCCTTAACATACATGGGGGAAAAAAAATAAAGTGGCCTCTTCCCCACCAAATACCTGCAGGTTAACTTCAACAACATTGAAGTTCTCAGTTTCCAAACTTCTATATGGCTTCTAGATCCTCTAACTGCCTCAGAAAAACCTGTTTCATAGCACTGCTGAGCACCTGGAAAACTCTTTTGAAAGAAATGGTCTGAAGTCAGCTGGTATGAATGTATGACCATTTGCTTTACCTATATGCAAAGACCCAGAAACTCAAAATTAGGATTTTTACGAGTATTGATTGTAGATTTCAAATCAAACTGTCTAAATGAATATCAGCTTTAATACACTACCTGCAAGATAACTGGTTCCAACTAGTCCTCCTGAACTTGCAATACTAACCAAGTGTCCATGGTTAGAAGCCATCATTGCTGGGAGGAAGGCTTTGTAAGTCTGCAAATGTAAGTCAAAGTTGCAATGAAACATTTTACCAAGTAAGCCATGTTATAATATTTTGAAGGTTTTGTTTTTAAAGAGATTCTCCCTACAGTTTAAATAAGCTTCCTCCCCTTCCAGTATGGAAGAGGGGGGAGAAAAAGAAAAAAAAAAAAAAAAAAGGAGGAGTTTGTTGTTTGAACTCTAACCTTCAACTAAGCTGGGACTTCCCAGTTCCCACCCGTACCACTTTCTCCAAAACCAAAGACAAATGTTAACTTGCTGAAAGCTAAAGGTTCAGCTAGCTGTTAAGTTTCTCTCAGTCTAAAGCTCAGCGGTGCAATGTTTCAGAAGTCACTGCAAATTTCATAAAAATGCAAAAATTTGAATTTCATGTCTTCCTTCTATTAACTTCATCTAATCATTGGGATTAAATATATTTATGAAGAAACTGCAGCATGTTTTAATATCCCCTTTGCCATTCTTTACAATAGGAACACCATATAGATGAGCACATTAAACTACTCATTTTGGACAAAAGTCTCACTTAAGAGCACTGTCTGAACATGCACTTCTTACTGAAACTATCACAACCACAAAGCAACTAGAACACTAACAGAACTGAACACTTCTCTGTTACTAGAGCAGCACCTTTTAGGCTGGGTCTGCTTCATGTCAATTAATATTGAGGGATTATAACATATGAACAGCTTCAGAATTTAGCAGATGGTAAACTTCATTTCTTAAGAACATTTCAAAATATGAAGCAATTTTGCTTCTCCCTACCTACCCCAGAAGTTCCCAAAGGACCCACTCTTCCACCTTCTTTTTATTTTACAGACTCCCAGGCACAGACACTAAGTTTTCATATAATTTCTGACTGAACTTACAATGAGCTATATATTCTTGTGCATTTTCCTCAATTCCAAAAGGCAAAATTAATATTGAAAACATGTTAAAAGGATGTTTTAGTACATAAATGCAAAGTATAAGTATTACCCAGAAGTGTGCCATTATGTTGACTTCCATGGTTTTTTCAACAAGTGAATCTGGACAATCAATAAATCTCTTTCCAGTTACGATACCAGCATTATTGACTAGGATGTTAACGTCACCAACCTCTTTTTTAACCTGAAAAAAAGCCTCAAGATATTATACAATAAGTACAAAACATGCTTTCCAAGTTTTATATATGAAAATATAAGAAGTAGAAATATTGCACATTTCAACTAAGTTGAATTTATTATGCTTGTTACAGATCCAAACACCTCAGGTTCTTGAACATTCTCACCTGATGCCTCCTTATTGCTGAGTTTACAGCTGGATTTCTTTGAAGGTGTGGAGCCCAACAGCTCCACACAAGCTTCTGCTTTCAGCACCTCTGGTTCTTGCTGTAACTGTTCCAGGTAAGTCTCTATTGCAGAGAGCTTAGCTAATGCAACAAGTATTTTGCTACAGCAAATCCATCTTAAAACCAATGAGCAATTCTGTTTGTAGGACCATTTCTGTGCCATGCAGTGAGGCACAGTACACAGCTCCTCAGGTAAGCTCACCAGAGTCAGGTACATCAAATCTAGGTGAGGACTGCAATACCTAAATTTTCATTTATGACATTCCTTGCGTTATACTCAAATCCTCTTGTTTTCCACAGCACAACTTGAGCATAGCAGCAGTGCTGCCATACAGCTTGAAGGCTGAAGCCAGCTTGCAGAGTACTTGAGCTTTTTGATGAGAAGGAAAATTGGATTCCCTGCTTGCAGCATTAATTGCCTGCATCCCAACAGTCCAGAGCTTCCTCTCTCCCACTGTACAGGGCAGCAGCTACTTAGCAGGATCTTAATATTTCAGGTATTTCAAGATTCTCCATGCTGTTTTCCATGTTCCACCACTCCTGACTGCAACTGTTAAACACTAGTATGTATTACACAGTAGTTTTCTCACTAGTGGTAACTTGACTTGCATTCCACAGCACACACATTAAACCAGACTTCCCTACAGCTTTCTGGGGGAGCAAATGGGAGTTTTTTGCTCTCAGCTCGTTGGAATTAGAATGGGTAAATGGTCACTTTTGATAATAAGTACTCCTCATATACAGAGGCAGTGAGAAAGACCACCTGTAAAACAAATTTCCTCCTTACAACCTTTTTATTTATTCAAATATCTTGAATATTTCAAGCAACTTTACAGGTCAGGAACTTAAGAGCTTCTTTTACCAAGCAAAAAGGGCTTTTTTTATTTCTCATGAAGACAGCCTGAAAGAACATCACATCTCCATTGACATTAGCTCTCAGGACAACACAAGAAATGAAAAAACTGTAGGAAGGGTAATAGTTTGTTATGAAGATGAAACAAAAGCTGTAGGGTTCTGAATAAAGGAAGATTTTTAGGATGTGTGCATTCACAGAATGTGAAAGCCTTAGGAGCTTCTGAGACTCATGGTGCAGAAGCTTGTTTCTACTGTATTTACTTCAATTCTAATACTGTACCAGAATTATTGTAAGATGGTTCCCAGAAAATAAGTTGGCTAAATATGTACACATTTAATTCAGTAAAAGGAAGCATAGTTCTCATAGCTCCAGATCAAGAACTTTCATGAACAGACCCACTCGAGCGCACAACTATAGGCCAGCTGGTATCAAGATATTGTGCCAGCTCTCAAAAGGAAAATGAAAATATTTAATGCAGTATTTGAAGTACAGTTCATTAATCTGAGCTATCTGGGAAAAAGGAAATAGGTACTCTATATGTTGTTTAATTTGTGATTTCTGGATCAAGTGCTAAATGTGCTGATCAACAGCTTTGGGAAGCCATGTTGGGTTTGTGCCATCTTGCCATACTGTTGCAAATCACAGAACCTCATTTCTTAGTGGGGTTTCCTTTGCTAGGTGCCCACAGTGAATGAAGAAAGCACAAGCAGATCTGGTAGACTAGCCTGTATAATAGTAAAGAATTAAAAGTAATTTACCAACTATCCTTTATCTAGCTTAAATTCCTCACCTTCCTTAAACTTGTTCCAATCTTGCCTATGTTTGTTAACTAAGTAAGGATTTAAAACACAGAAAGCAGCCTCAGTAGCATTATACAGAACAGCTTTCATAATGAATTCATTAGCCAGAGTCCCTCTCCACCTCATTGCTCACACATTCTTGCCTGTCTACTCCCCTCTCAAAAAGCTGTCATGTAACAATTTAAATATTTCTGAAGCAGCACCACATGATCTCCATAGGCACCATGAGACAAGTTGTTCTAGTTGCCAACCTGAGTATGTACACCTCATCACAAGTTAAAAATAGTATGTGTTCAGAGACATAAATGTAATCATTAGTAAATGATGCTTTAATACTGCCTTGTGTCAGATAATCTAGCCACTTTGGAAGTCTGGACCAGTACACCAAATCTACCCTTTGGGGCAAATAATTAGCTAAATAAGCGGTCATGCTTCTTTTGTGCAAACAAAAGACAGAGGTGAGGGAATGTGGTACATACAGTTTATAGCTTGGTGATTGGTGCATTCAGGTTGGTCAGGAGAAGGGTAATAGTAACAGAACCTTGATCATCCCATTTCTAGCTAGTGGCAAAAACCTGAACCACCTCTTCCTTTGCCACCTGTTTCTACTTAGTCCTCCAAAATATATTCACACTTCAGATGGAATTCAAAGTAGATGCAAGTGCCTTCTTGCAACCCAGACAATTCCAGCTTTACATCATCTTTGTTCATGCTGCCTCCCTATAACTAGATGTGGCAGCTCTTTCCTCAGCAAATTGGCTGTTTTAATTCCCTTCTCCTCGCAGCTCTCCCCTGTGCGCAACAGAGCCAAGACACTCAGCCCTGGATTCCACACACTGCTTTGAGGCCAAGTACAGAAGACCTTTACCGAGCCTTTCTTCTAGATATTAAGGAGGGTGGGGATAATAACTTTCCAGAGCCCTAAACATCTCCATTTGTGCAGTGCAGGGAAGTATGTTTCAGGTATTTGTTTTAGCCCTATGTAAGGCATGCATTATGCAAACAGCTGATCTGGTTAAACATCTTTTTCAGGTATAAACACTATTTCTTGTTTGATTCTGCATTTATTTTTATGCTTTTATATTGAAGTTTAGTAGTGAGCAATTCCCATGACTCCCAAACAGCACCCTGAAGTGTCTACTTTCTAAGAACCATGAACCCCTCCATAACTGCCTATAAGAGGTAGAAGAAAACACTGGATGAATTACAGGTAGCATGACATACCACCAGGTAATGTGCTTCTACTGTTGCTCCTCTGCACAGGAAAGAAGATTCTCAGAGAAGTGGAAAACTGGCTGCAAACTGTCATTTTGACTAATAAGCAAGAAAAAAAAAACCCAAACAGTGGATAAGCAAAAAAAGTACCATGCAAGAGAGGTCCTGGAAGTAAATGTGAGCCCAGATGCAATTTTGCAACATGATAACAAGGAAAAGGCTTCCATTTCCTCACAAGTAGGAAGATCAAAACACATAGTTACTTCTCTTTCAAAGCCCTAGATTCTTAAAGTTTAGTTGAACTCAAGCAAGGAAGGGGTAGCTCAGAAAAGGCCACGCTCCTTTGGGGGACTGGATACTTCTGGAACAGGGACTTTAGAAATAAATGTTAAGATATAGCTTAGATGGCCAAAAGCTGTCCTTCATCCTGTTGATATAGGAAAGGAACAAGGACACCACATGTGCCTGGCTTTTTGGTTTTCTTCCTACTGAAGTGACTTTTTCCTGGTCTCTCTGTGTGGCTGATGAAGTACCAGAAGCAGGTATTTAAGGTTCACATACATTTCATTTTGGCTTTGAGATTGTTTTACTGGGCGAAGTTTTCAACCATATCCTGCCCTGCCTGCATGAGCTTAGTTCACTGTAGTCTTGCAAAACTCCCAAGTCACTGCATGACACTGAATCACCAGGGGGAAAAAAACAAAACCTGGAACTGTGCTGCCTCATCTTGCAAAGGCAGACACAACACTATGAGCCAAAGTCTACTACACTGCATTAAGCAAACAGTGGCACCAGGCACTAACTAATACTAAAGTTTCTTTGTCACTAAAAAGATAGAAAAGTTGTCAGCATGGTCTTACATCAGTTGTCAGCAGGACATGACGATTCTGAAATAACAGTAGTAGGGTATTTCCTTCTATGTGGATCAGCAGGAGGACTGTTAGTGGATCAGCTGTTAGTGAACCGCTGACAGAATATTATAAGCGAGGAATCATGCACAGAGACCCTCTTACCACTTCTTTGCTCCTGTCTACCTCTTTTTATCAACCCTAAACTGTGTCACACAAATCTACACACACTTTTTATATTTGCCCAGAAAGGCTCTGCTACTGCTTTTCTCCACAGGACTGAAGTGTTAGCCCTTGAATCCTCAAACTTGAAGGTTAGTTTCCATCTTCTTCATTCCAGTGTCCTTCACACTAAAATAATCCCTCCTCCTCCACTCCTCCTAGTTCAGTGGGAAGCACAGTTACAGGTCTGCAGTGAGATTCGTGTAACTGCTCTGCGGGGATGGCAGATGTGCAACTTACCTGGTGTAACGGTGCTGCAAGGGAGAGCAAGGGTGATCAGCATTACCAGAACACAAAACCAGTAGTACCAGCCTCTTAAAAGCTGCAAGTCATGGACAAACATCACTTACCAGAAAGTTTGCCCTAGTCTTTTTTGCACAGATAGAAAAATGCAGAAGGCTAGAGCTTCTTACAGCACCAGAAGAACATTAACTTCAGCCAACAAATGTTCCTGAAGACAGCTGGACTTTTTTTAAGAATTCATCCTCAGGCAAACACTCAGTGTGGAAACTTTCTAGTCCAACAGTTAAGTTTAGCAACATTTTAAGCAAATGAGAACAGGTTGTTATAATGGAAACTGTTAAGCAATTTTAGCTTTTGGCAATTCTACTAGTCTGCCCAAAATATCTAACCACATACTATATTTACAAAGCTCTTCAGAAAGGAAAGTAAAAAATATTTAAGACTTCAAGATACATTTATTAATACTGATAAAGTGAGTCTACAGAAATCTATTCACAGCCATGGAACTATCTGAAAATTGCCTGAGCAGTTAATCCTTTTTACAATATATGGTCTTTAGGGTTTACTTTTTGTAAAAGGCTGTCAGAACTTGAAATACTGCTTTAGCTTCAATAAACTGATTTTCTCCACTTCACCAGTAAGCTCTTGCTCAGTAATTGAATGAATGAGAAGTTACCCAGTTGAAATGAGCTACTGAAAAAGAGAACCAGCTCTTTTTATTTTTAAAGGAACAGAGATACACAAGTCAGCTCTAAAAAACAGTATTCTTTAAATAGGTAGCATACACAATACATTCTGAATAAATTTATTCTCTTGCTTTGAAGGCACTAGAAATTATCATACATCATACACCCAATGCACCCAATCAGAATAGCATCAAAGCCACAAATAAGATACTTTACCTGATCAGCCACTCTGTAGATGTCCTGCCTTTTGCTACAGTCACAGATGTAACAGTGTACTCTCACTCCTCCATTTTCTCTGGCCAGCCTACTTGTCTCCTTGAGCCCCTCTTGATTAATGTCCCAGAGAACCAGTGTGGCTCCAAGGCTGGCAAACTTCAAAGATAAGACTCTTCCAAGGCCACTTCCCGCTCCTGTTATTAATACTATTTCACCACTAATATTCTTCTTCCGTCTAGGCACAACCCAGAGCACTAGAGACTCCAGCACATAATAAACAAAAAGTACGATGCATTTCAATGTTTTCAGGAAGCAGTTCATCTTAAGGCTATTTCTTCAGATACCTGATAAAAGAAAATGTTAACCAGAGAGAATAAACCATAAAGACAGAAAATGCAAACATCAGTATTTCAAAATTGAAAAAAGCATTTTTTGATCCATTTTAAGTATTTTCTCCAGCCTGCTTCTGAGTGTTGTTCCAAAAAAAAAATGTATAGGCTTACATCTGCACATCTGTACCATTTATCCTGCTTATGTATCATCTCCAGGTTGCTCCTACTCTCCTCCAGAACACAGCACACAACTGATTTAACATTTGGCAGAGGCAGGAAACACCTGCCCCCATCTGCTTTAGAAATTCCCCACCCCTCATGTCACAGGTTTCTATCTCTGCTCTGACAGAACGTGGACTCAAAAACTAGAATCAAGAAATTTATAGTTGCCTCGAGCATCTTAAGCAGAAATGTATGGCAATTACAAATCATAACTCCTGGCTTAATCACATGACTTTAGTGCTCACAAACTAGTACTTTAGATCAGGAAAAATTCTCCTTTTAGGACCACAACTGTTTTGCTATGTAGACAATCCTTGTCATCAAGAAGTCATATGCAGACCAAGTCACAGGCTCAACACTGCTGAAAAACGGCCAGCATAGGAGCTTCAGAGTGCAATAGGCTCGGAAATCTCCAAAACACACCAGGTAGATTACTGGCTGTCACAACTAGCTTTTCAACTACCAGTACTACTATTATTGAGGAGGATCTGCTTTTGCAGTTGAACAAGTGTTTTGTTAGGAATGCACTGCAAAGCTGTTGACTTTCTTCTCTTCACCTCCCTGCCTTATGCAAATGCTCATGGCCTTGAATCATACCATCTCAGGTATGTGTTTAACTTCAAAGTCTATACTCATCACAGTAATGCTGACACCAAGCAGGCATTTAAGTCCTTAAAAGAATGCTATTTAATTCCCAGTATACTGGGAATGCTATGGAAATGCTATGGAAAAAATGCACCCTTAGTCAAAGCAGGTGTTTTGCCAATTATTTAGGCCTAGCATAAAGGACACAGCCAGCATAAAGATGAACCAATAACCAAATTGTATTTGATACAAAAGGGTCAGTACATGGGTGAGCACTGGGGTACAAACAAGTCAGCAGATTATACATAATCAACATCAATCCCACTGACCCCAACAACACCCCACAACCAACTATGGATGGAATAAATGGTGACATGCAGACTCCCATAGAAGGGACAGGAGACAACCACGTCAACAAACCAAACACATAAGACCAAGGAAACCACACACTGAATCTCTACACAGCCCACACTTACAAGAGCCAGACCTGACTGGAGCCCAGTCCCAGGGAGGTGAGAGGTCCTTCCCCAACAGGGAACTCTGCACAGGGCATCCACCTCACAGACAGACACTGCCCCTGCCTGCAAGGGGTCCCAGCTTTTATCCCTCAGTGGGACACCTGACCTTGGGTTACTTACTGCAGACACCTGGGGCTCATTTACCCAATGGCTCTCCCTGCAAGGCCGGCACCACCCTGGAGGGAAGCTTAAAGGTAAACTCACCCCCCCTTTGTGAAGGGCTGTGGGAATCACCCACATGTCAACCTTAATTTGGGGCTTGGGGTTGAAAGCCCAGCATTTGAGCAGGATTTAATCTTTTACTAACTACAGTATGAAGGATTAGTATCTTCCTTCTCAGCTAAAGGTAGAGCACGCAGGCACTTACACTTCAACCTTTAGCACTACCTGCCCAGTCTGATCACATCTCTTGGTTAGCACTGCTATCTATGTGTATAGGTAATCACGTCTGACAAGTGCCAAGAGATAAGTTACTTACATCTCTGCTACTCAGAGCAAAGTTCATGAAATTTAGCATGTGGACATACACGTGTTATCATGAGTCTCATGTTTTGTACATGGGAAACCAGGCCAGTCCTAAAAAGACTACTAGAACAGAGCAAGTTATTTCAGAAAGTTTTCTGGCAGAAAGATTAGGACATCTTAAAACTAGTCCGATAACAGAAAAACATTTGTCAGAAACATAGCAGGTAGGGAAACAAGTTTTTTTTTCTGAAGGAGTCAAGGTGAATATTTTCTGTTCTTTATTACCTTTAAACTAGGACAAAGTGTGTACAGAGGTTCTAGCACACTCACTGGCAGTAACACCAGTAAGAAATGGAAAAAATACCAAAACAGCACAGGAACATTATTCTAGAGCCAATATTGACATTTCCTATAGTAGGTTCTTATAGTTACTATAGGTATAAGCAAAACCAGACATGCAGTAAATGCGTTATTAAGTTTCATGTACATAGAGAGCCAGCAAGTCTTTTTGAAACACAGATTCTCTGCTGGGTCTAAAACAGAAGCAACAAATCTTTAAAATAAATGCAGTTGCTGAATTTAACTTAATTACACTAACAATGCACTTAGCATAACATCTTCCATTTGCATGACAGGAGATTGGTATTTCTGGAGTAGATAAGGATGTTACAGTTAATCCCTCTGGAAAAACAAGAGAGGCAATTGCCTTCAAAAGGTAATACACAATTTGACCTAAACCTAGTTCAGAATTTATCAGTAATTTATTAAGTAAAATTATCATGTATTAGGCTTGCATAGGACAGAGGCACATCAGGTCTTAGATAAATACTGAGTGCCTCTTGGAGAAGTACAGTTTAGGCATAGGAGACTGTTAGAACACCAACACCGCATTCTTCAATGAGACACTTAACTTCCACTGACATGTCTCTTGCCTAAGCCAGCTCTAAGCAGGCCAGGAGTCCCCCATTCTCACAGGCTCCCTGCATTAATACTG